ATATATATATATATATATATATATATATATATATATATATATATATATATATATATATATATATACATATATGTATGTATGTGTGCACATATACACACACATGTATATGTACAAGTTTCTCTTGAGAGAAGGTTTTTGTTTAGATAGGTGAATAGATCTTTATAAATTGTTTTTTTTTCCAAAAAAATGAATAAAGATATCAGTGTATAGTTTTTGATCATATTATTTATCATTATTTTAAGTACATAAAAATATATTAAGTACTCAAAAAAATATGTAATTAGCTCAGAGCTGCACTACTAAACTGGGTAATTATGGACTTCTTCGGAATCAATTACAATCGGAATAATTCCGTTTCCTTTAGAAAAGAGTAGAAATCTAGGAAATAACTGAATGTTTCCGATCGGAATTGATTTTGAAAAAGTCCATAAAGCCCGTATCAGACTACCGACTACACAGGCCGACCCGACTGCCGACTCTCACTGTAATTGGTCCAATTAGTCTGATACGGGCTTAAGGGCCTTCGAACACGAATTGCCGTAACCGTAAAGCGGGGAGCACATACTCTTCCATAAAAACAATGCACAATGTATGAGAAAATAGACCAGAGTCCTTCATTTTCATCATTGTAATAGAGATAAGAACTCTGATTCTTGTGCATTATGCTTTTATGCAAAAGTGTGTGCTTCCCACTAAATTTCAACTGATTGAAATCTAGTTATTTTTGTGTAATGGCTTCTGCACACAGGACGCGGTAATGCTTGCCACGCGGCGGAAGTACGCGCGACAGCCAATCAATATGTTGTTTTTCCGTAAGAGCTACAAGATTATTACGGAAAGCAACTAGTATTAGAGTGCACCCGGGTAGGGAATCTGAACGTACCCTTTCATGCTCTTGTTTATGTTAGCAGCGGGACTCCTTATCGCATTGAACAATTACGGTTTCTTTTGTCTACAGTTGATCCATCGATTTTAAGACTCTCTAACGACACGCAGTATTCAGCCTTATAATTTTAATTATAATATTTAACGTGCGCAAATATACATATACGCACGTACTTATGTCTAGTAAAATATCTAGTGATGTCTGAAATCAGACAAGTCGGCCTCCGATCTATATTAATATATTATTAGTGTTTCAAAATAAATCCGGACGTTACAGTCAATAGTTGGTGTTTTATAATCTTTTGTAATACATAAATAGCAATTTATAGCAATATTCTGATTGGTTCTTCAGCCTAAGTTTACGTATTATGGTTACGGCAATTTGTGTACGAAGGCCTGGATCTATAATACATGGACTGGGGGTCGATTGTGTATCTCGAAATGGAGTGAAAATTACAAAAGTGAGTAAATTCATTAGGCATTGACCAATGAAGTTACAAATATTCTAGTAAATTTGCTCACTTTTGTCATTTTCATTCCGTTTTAAAATACACAATCGACCTCCTGAACATCTCCCCAATCTGCATAGGATAGACAAGGAAATCGTGTCCGCAGCAGAATTGTGTGAGATAGAGGGTGCGTTCGCTTTGAACGCTTACGCGCTTTAAGCGCTTATAAATATCGCTCACGTTGTTCACTTTGGCATTATAAGCGCTTAAAAACTGCATATTGACGTCATGCGTGACGTCATAACTCGCGCTTACATTCGCTTCTTCTATCGAGGTAGGGCAGTAGAAGCGTGAGCACATATAAGTGCTTATTTTCCAAAGAGAACGATAAGTTAGATTGCGTCCATTTCATCGACACAATCTAACCTCCAATATAAATCTTAAAGTGAAATAGTGTTTCAAAATGATTTCCAACGAAAGTAACAAAACCAGAGTAACTCTGCAAGATGTTACAAATAATAAAATGTATACACTTGTTGTTACATCAGATGAGGCAAAACGTGTAGAAACAGGTAAGTTTAGGACACCTCTCATAAAAATTTATTATTTTTGTTATTAAATCATATTTATTTTGAGTAATAAAGCACTGTTCAACGGTACCCTTATAGAAATATCATACTAAGAATCATTGATAATTACTTATTTTCAGTATTAAAAATATTGGATAATAAGTAATTATCAATTATTCTTAGTATGATATTTCTATAAGGGTAATTAAAAAAAAAGTAATATTTTAGCAACACTAGTAATACATTTGATGAAGGAAACGGATTTTCTCACAAATTTATTGTACCTAAATCTTCATATTTTGTTGTATAAAACATGAATGTGAAAGTTAAAATCGTTGATCTTAAATAAAACAAAAGTTATAAAGTGAAAAGTTATTAAAATGTGACTTAAATACTTCATCATTGTATAATGGTACAACCACTTCCACATAGTTTTTTAACCGAGGTATTGTTTTTTTTATTGATCCAATCATTACGGATAAATACTTTTCTAATTTTTCTTTATATAAGTTATTTGTTTCGTTATCATCAAAAACATCTAATAAAACTAATATTTGAGCAAATACACAAACAATTTCCTTATCTTTATCCTCCATTTTTACGCTCACAATTGCTTACAACAGCCAAAGGAAACGGTTATGATCTTTTGATGAGTGCGCTTAGAAATCAAAGTAACTGGGCAAAAATAGCGCTTATAAGCGTAAGCGCTTTAAGTATGTGAGCGTCCAAAACGAACGCACCCATAGTGTTTCTAGTAATAGAGTGCATCCGGATGAAGAATTTGAACGCACTACAGTGCAGCTACAAAGAACAGACCTATAGAATGATGTTTGTGTCGACTTGTGTCTCTTGTTGGAAAGTAACCATTGTAGATCAGGCTTTAGACGACAAAATATCGCGTTTTTCGCGTCCGTGTCCAATCGTCAATGACTACCGAGACTTTTCAAATTTAAACCGTAAAATCGATCAACTGTCGTCGATCTCCTTTGCGAGAATATAACAGCCAGGCCGGATTTACGAGATACGCACACGTTGAAGTGATGAAGGACTGTTGAATTGTTCATCCCATGATTTACCATCAGACCGTGGTCGTTCGTGATCCAGCCAGGAACAAAGGACGCAACGATGTTTACGCCAATCAAGCCCGCGGGCATTGGCGTGCTGAATGATACGATATTAAATACACCGCAGCCACAAGCAACGTCGACCGTTCAACGAAAAAGCACGTATGTTCTCAGATGTTTTAAGCTTCTAGGGGAATTGTTCGCTTGGAACGGTTGTCCGTAAACTTTTTTTGAAGCCAACATGTTTGACTGATTCTTCCTTTCCCTGCAGTATTGTATTTACCAAAAGATAGATCTTGAATATTTTTGTTGTTCAGATATTCTGAACTGTTTTATCAATAAAAGTGTCTCTAAATGTGGTTTATAAGCACATTGACTGATTTTTAGTCATATTTAGAAATATTTTTATTAGTAAAATTGTTTAAAATAAGTGCTGAAGAGATGATTAAACTCCTGTTGACTTTAAGGAATGTTCGTGAATGTGATTCTTAAAGATATTTTATTTCAGTTTGGAGAGTAGATATTGCAGTGGAGACTTCAGTAAAGAGAAACAAGAAAAGAGAGAAAAGCAAGTATCTAATGAAAGTCCAACAGATGATACAGATAATTCCTCACTGGGTCTTCTTGATAACATGTCAGGTATGTGTGTGTTTACAAACTCTTAATTATTAATAGTTTTTGGATGATATTACTGTAGTATTATAGTAACATTTGCTATTGGATAGTTCTTACAAATCTTAGCATAGCAGATGAGGGACAAAAAATGAATTCTACTAACACAAATAAAGAGCTTGAATATGCCAGAAAAATTCTTCAGAGGTGCAGCGGTGGAAAGAATTCTTCTATGGCTATAGGTAAACAAAGAAAAGATAAATTTCTGAAAACAACATTGCATGTATAATGTTTGGTAAATGTTTAAAAAAGGAGATCTAGCTTCAATGATTATTACTTTCACATATGTTGTTAATGTGTTGACTCTGCTTTAACTCTAAGTAATCTGCAAAGGATATTAATCATTGTTCATTGTTTATCAAAAAGTTAATGTTTATATTTATCAAATGTTGATTAAATAATATTTCATAAATGAAATGTAATTTTTCAATATTGCTATATAGAATATTATATAAATATTATAATAAATATTCACTACACATTCATATATGTGATGTGTATATTCATCATGTATTGAACCATATATTTCTATTGTAATTTCTTTAAAAGAGAATGTTAAAAACAGGCTATTTTTGGCTCATTAACTAAATCTCAACTTATTCTTGGAAACTATTTTTGGGATCTTTTAGAAACAGAAAATAATTATTTGTCCATCAGGCGCAGAGAAAGTTATGAAAATCAGGATATATAACTGTAATAATCATATGAAGTAGTTTTAAGCTTTATATCCTTAATATGTCTAAAATAAAATTAATTATACATTTATGTATTGAAAAGTAAACTTAGAGAATATTGAACTTAGAAATGTATTGAAAAGTAAAAGTAAACTTAGAGAATTAATTAAATGGAAGAGAATTTTTAATTTACATTATATATGTATATATATACACGCGCGTGTGTGTGTGTGTGTGTGTGTGTGTGTGTGTGTGTGTGTGTGTGTGTGTGTGTGTGTGTGTAAAAAGATATACAGGGTGTCCCATTTTAAATTACGCACTTGAATATTTCGTCAGAGGAGCCACCAATCCGAAAATAACCTTTACAAAAGTTGTTGGGTTCGGAGGGGGACATCGGATGGTGATTTTCAATTTCACTTTGACCTTGACCTTCAAGGTCATTTGAAGGTCAAATCGAATTTTTAAATAGAAACCCCTATTTTTGACCCCGGATTCGGAAAGAGTGCAAAATTTTACGTTTAGATGGGTACTTGAGGCTCTTCTTTGGAATGACCTTCAGAGGTTATTTCAAGGACAAAATATTTGAAATTATGCACCTGAATACATATCATATATAGTAGCACATGAAGTTTTACAATTTGAGATATGTATCCCATTACAACAATTTATCATGAAATACACGCTGATAATACCAAACAACGACAAAGAAAACAATTTTAACTCAACCGCACAGCACAAAGAACCACAGTTTTGTAATGAGGACAGGCTCCGGCACGTTCTTCACAATTACATTAATTTTTTGTGCTAATAACGTTTAGGAAAAAAAATTCAAGGTATGAGAACTTGTGTATCAAACTCACAGTGATGAACCGATTTTTACAAAATTTAAATATCTATGTAAATTCAAATCTTCGTTGAAACACAATCAACGTGGACCCTGGACATCGATGTATGTATTATGTCGATGACTGGACGCAGGCTTTGGTGTGAACAATTTTATTTTATACGAATGACTACTAATTCAAATATCTTAAAAAACAAACCACGATCAATTTTGGTTTTCAGGTCATGGTAGACTTGTAAGCGGTTCGACCTTGAAATGATCTTTAAAGGTCATTTCGACTCTTAACATAACTTTAAAGTTTCTATTTAAAAAATTCGATTTGACCTTCAAATGACCTTGATGGTCAAGGTCAAGGTGAAATTGAAGGTCACCATCCGATGTCCCCCTCCGAACCCAACAACTTTTGTAAGGGTTATTTGGATTGGTGGCTCCCCGACAAGATATGTATTCAGGTGCGTAATTTCAAATATTTTGTACTTGAAATAACCTCTGAAGGTCATTCCAAAGAAGAGCCTCAAGTACCCATCTAAACGTAAAATTTTGCGCTCTTTCCGAATCCGGGGTCAAAAATAGGGGTTTCTATTTAAAAATTCGATTTGACCTTCAAATGACCTTAAAGATCAAGGTCAAGATGAAATTGAAAATCACCATCCGATGTCCCCCTCCGAATCCAACAACTTTTGTAAGCGTTATTTTCGGATTGGTGGCTCCTCTGATGAGATATTCAGGTGCGTAATTTAAAATGGGACACCCTGCATAGCTAATTATAAAAAATTCATTTTATATAACTATATTTCAACAATCAATAATAAATTCCACTTTTAATAACTTTCTCTGGACTTGGACTAATAATAATTATTATTTTCTGTTTTTAGAAGATCCAAAAAACAGTTTCCAACGATTAGTTAAGATTCTATAAATAAGCCAAAATAGCCTATTTTTAAAATCTTCTTTTTATAAACTCTAATTTGATATGTATCTTTGATATTATTGGTATAAATAACTACCTTGTACAACTACTCAATCACCAGAATAATTTCATGTTGCAATAAATATTGCAACATAAAATTTCATAATGCATTTATGTTATGAAATAATGAGAAGCAAAGTTTCTTCTTGTGCATATACGTGTAGTGCCATTTTTAAGTATACTGTGTTAAAAAATTTTGTTTTATTGATGAAATTTATTTTGTTAATAATTTTTTAAAAAACAATTAGCGACGGCTAAAATTTTTAGAATGTTACTCTGAAAAAAGACCTCTATAGTATATGTAAAGCTTAAAGTGATTGAAACTGGATCTTTTTCTGTAAACACTTACACAAAGTTTATCATCAAAATACTAATGTGTGATAAATTATTTTAGACATGAATAAAGAGAATAATGTAAATGTACAAAATATAACAGGTATTTTGCCTGTTTCAAGTTTTGTTTTGTCAAATAAAATTTGTGCTCTTGATAAGGACCAAGAATGTAATGTGGATTATTTGGATAAGGAAAACACAACTAATGTAAGTGATTATATGAGTAAGAAACCTATTTTAAAATTATTATGTACATTGATATATATTATATATAATAATATAAATATATATGTATTATATAACAATATAAATATATATTATATAATATTTTTTAAATTATATAATATACGAAATTATTATATTCTTTAAAATTAAATTATATTTCATTTTAAAAACAAAGTAATGTAGAATAAGTGAATTTCAGATTACTTTTGAGCCTAATGAAATGTCAGCACGTTCATCTATTGTAAATAATGCTGAAAGAGAACAGTCTCTCTTAAACATACTTTCTAGTGGCATTAACATAAATAGCTTCATAAACGACTTCACAGCACAATTACACAAAGAACTTGATACTGAAGAATTTCTATCAGACTCACAAGTACCTAACCAAATATCAATTGATGAGGCACACTGGTTACAAGATAACATATATGCCATGCCAGTTACGAGTACCGATAAACAGGAATTAGATTGCTCGACCTTCTCCGGTATTTTGGAGCCGGTTGATTTGTCGATAGCGTACGCGCCTCAAATTTTTATTCTTTGATTTCTTTAAATGCATATAATAATAATAATATTGTTTAAATCATACACAGATCTTGTGCTGGAAGAAAGGTATCTGTCGGTCAATATTTCAAACGTAAATGTGACATGGAAATATTGGAAAATAATGCTAGATTAAAACCAAATTTTGATGTCACCTCAGGAACTCCCATGAGAAGGGGTAACTTGAGATCAGTGATTGACTCGACAAATGGTAATTCCACAATCCTAAACTATATTAAATAACTTGTTACATTCTGAGTGTACATTAAAGAAAATATTGTAGTAATAATGCCACCAACAATAGAGCCAAAAGAGAAGAAAGAACAGACATACATCTCAACGACAGTTGATATGGGTGAAAATAGTATCTTAAGTTTAAGCACTATTGCCAATACCTTGCAAGATGTTAATAGCGAAACGCCACGGCGACTGGTCGATCAACTTTTAATGGCACAAAAAAAGAAGAAATATCTTATAGAAGAAAATTCAAGAAAAGAAACCTACACATTGCCCTTAGACAGGAAGTCTATGTTAGCAGCAACTACTACAAATCCCAATAAATTTGACGATGATAATAGTCAAGTGAATCTCACAAAAAAATTGTCACTGGATAGTAAAACTATAAATGAAGCGGAAAAGATCGTAAAAACGCTGTCATTTACTCCAAGTAGAAGTGTAAAAGTAGCTGAATCCTTCGAGAGTGCATATGAAGTATTAAAAGAAAACGTAAATGACAGAACTGCAACTTTTTCGGGTAACAAAGATGCAGGTTTGTACAACAGAACTCTGTGATATATCTCGGTTTAATATTTTATTGCCTTCATACTGGATGACTCACTTCAAATCTAAGCCCAATGTATGAATGCTTCAGTATATCAATATATTTTATTTGAATAAGAGTGAGAAATTTGACGTCATATTTTTTAATAGCTCAAATATCAGTCACAGATTTTAAATTTCCCTTACAACATTTGACATTGTCTCGATCATCCAATGACAAGTTGAATGTGTCCTCCTGCGTACCATCTACAATGGATATTAAAAATTACGATGAAAGCTACAATGATTTGAATATACAGGAGATAGACAAAAAAGAAACAAAAGTAGATGTTGATAGTACAATGGACACACTGTTCACTGAGAAAGTGAAAACTGAAACGCAGATTAATTTAAACAGTACATTTTGTTTATTAATTTAATTTATTTTATTTTATGAATATAATAGTCACATATTTCAAACGTGTCTCTTCGGCTTTTCAGATGATGTAATCATTAGCAAAAATACAGAACATTTATGTAATTGCATTATTGGCATGACATGTAAAGCTAATATAGAACTTGTAAATAGAGGAGACAGATGGATCACATGCACTTTGAAATTGAGTGAAGTGCGAGGAGATCAACAAAATATTGCATTAAGTATTCCTGAAGATAGGATTTTGATAGGGCCTAACAATGTCCAATCTACAAAAGTAATTTTATTGTTACCTGGAAATTTCTCTAATAATGTGTTGGTTGTTATTTAATTCTCTACTTTTTTTCAGATCGAAGTTAAAGTAACAAAAATGTGTAAGCCAATCATCGCGGTATTACATATAATTATATCTGAAGTAGTTTCGGTAGTGAAACCGAAATGGTTGACACATATGATCTGCTTTAAACCGGAAGAACTTGAACTCGATATCATATGCAACTCGCAGGACAAACAGGAATTGGATTTTCAATATATCGTAGAGAATACAGCAAAAGTTTTACCTATAATATTTCATAATAAGAACAATATCAATGTACCTATTAAGTTCTCTGTATTACAGGTAAGATCTCACTATAAATGTTTGAGCATAATCAGCACGATATTTTGAAAGAAAATATGAATGTACTTTTTATTATTATAGGAAGGACCAAAAATATTCAGTATTGATGGTTCTTTTAATGGACCAATAAAACTGAACGAATCTCGTGACGAATTAACTCACTTAGTACTTAAGCCTCAGGAAAAATTCACTGCTAATATAAAGTGCGAGAGGTCGCAATCTACGTTAATGGGTAAGTCTGCTTATACGGAATACGTGTATATTCTTTGCGTATGGTATGCTTTCCTATCAGAGAGATACATGAAAGTTTTATCAAACAGATTGTTCGCAAAAACAACCGCAGTATTGGAAAAGTAAGTTGATTGTATATGTGCAATGTGGCGACGGAGCAATATTATCTCTGAAAGAAGTGCCCCTCTATGCGCAACCAGGCACTTGTAAGATCCAAATTATCGACACAGATGTGCCTGTAATTGTTTCAAGACAGCACGGAAAATTACTGCACATCGTTAATTCGGGAAATGTTGCGACGCGCGTGTCTGCGACTGTCGTGCCAATGGAAGGATATCCGAAAACGGCGCAAGAGTTTTTTATAAAACCAGGTGACATATCTTTACAAACTGGAGAGAGAGGTTCATTTTCGATTACGTATAAGTCACAGATTCCTGACGCGAGGAACACAATCGAAGAGAGGTGACAATCAGCTTTATAATATCGGGTAATCCCATAAGTAATATTATTTAAAAAAAACTAATCTTCAGTTCAAAATATATTAATATTTATATTTACTCTTATATTTGATGTAGAGAGAACTACTTTTCTCTCAAAAGTAGAAGGGAAAGTTTGTACATACGTTGTCTAAGCCATATAAATATTCGTATTTGTTTAAGATAAAATAAATAAAAATACTTATGAGCACTTAAAAGACACTTATGGGATAATCTGACACGTATTATATGGTATTATATATATTCTAATATCAATGTATTCGTTAATATATATATATATATTTTTCATTATATATATCTTCTCTTCAGGCATGCAAAGATAAAATTAGTTGCCGGTAACAATGTATACTATTACATCGTAAGTACTGAACAGAAACCGTCAGAATCGGAAAATGAAAATTATCTACGTTGCGATACGCCTTGTAACTTGGTATCTACGAGTACCCCGACATCGCCGCAAAGTGTAACCTCTAGTAGGTAAGTTCGTACTTTCCAGTACAGTCGAATTGTTAAATATAAATATAAATAATTATGTTAAATATAAATAATTTATGTCAAGAAGTTTTGCAATGCATACTGTATCCGATAGTAGGATTTAATTTTTTTTTAGTAATTCTTATGAGATACATGTTTCTATTGGATATGGGATGTGTGTTGTGAAACTCATCGAGCAAATTTTAATTATCTCTACTTAGTAATTGTGCATCACGAGGGTGATTTGACCTACAGATCTCCTGGAACTCATCAAGATAGAAATTCACCGAATAGTGTAGTGTCCAGTGTAACGGGGAGTACGATTCCAATCAGAGCGACACATGCCGCTCTGGTGTGGAACAGCGTGAAAACGAGTAAGAGCGAAATCAAGGAATTTACAATTCGTAATACGAGCAATTACAAGATTAAGATCCAAATAGACATATGGGACGACAGTAAGAGCTTTAAGGTATTACACATTGCCGTGTTATTTAGGAAAAAAATTACGTTCGACACGTAAACGTGATCGTTTATAGTTCCGTTTATAGTAGTATCGTATTATAGTAGTATCGTATTATAGTAGTATTGTATTATAGTTCCTTGGAGCAGATAGACAGACTATGAATACAAGCATGATACTGGCGATGCAACGCACAGAAAGCAAAACACTTGCGGTCATGTTCAATCCGTTTCGTGTGGGTCCAGTGGCCGGAAAGATTACTATCAAACATCACGCGCCTACAAAGGAGGGTCATGAGTCTCAATACAAAAGGGTGCGTACATATTCGATATTGAATGTTTTAACGTATTCTTTAATGAGTTTTGAGTGTGTATTTTAATAGTCTCTATTTTATATCGGCAGATACCCTTGTATGGATACGGTGGCTGTTGTGGTAAGATGAAAATCTCGAATACGTTTAAAGATGCGAGCGGGAAGATATGGTTGGCGCTTGGTACTTTGTCGTCTGGGACCATAGTTCTGGAAAAGAACATCAGATTGCAAAATACTGGTGACTTGTGCGCATTTGCCAAGATCAAAGTTATACCAAAAGGTATATAACAAAGTTACATCAATATATAATTATATATACATATATGTATGTATGTATGGTGCGTGTGTGTTTATCATATATATGTGTGTGTTATATGATACATATGTATATAAAGATATATATTAATATAAATTTACAAATAAATATATTTTTATATTTCAGTTATTTCCTCTAAAATGGATTCAAATTGGCACGTAAATCCGACGGAACTAATACTCAATTCTAAAGAGTCTTGTCAAGTGTCGATAAAATTCTATCCCAAAAAGGAGGACTTTGCGATATTACAACATTGCGTTGCAGATGTATCACACATTGTCGCGACGTTAAACATCGTTTACGGGGATGAACCGACTCGCTGGCGGATACGCAGGTAATAAATATATCATGTATTGATGCAAATTGGCAAGTGTTGACATAGATTTTGATTTATGATAAGAAAATGTGTACTTTTTTTTCCAGATTATATAATAAAATAAAAGAGTCAGATGAGTTGTCCCGAAATGAAAACGAAACTTTCAGAAACGTCGTGCATCCTATTTGTAGAACTTTCCCTGGGGAGCAATTAATATCTGGCTTAACATCGATACGTGACCCTATTGTGAGTATACGATTTTATTATCGCTTATAAACCGATGACCCGAAGTAAAGCAATTTCATCCATATTTAAACAGCAAAGCCTAAATGACCTTTGCATGGGAGTTCAGCAGCATGAAATAAATCTCACAGTGGAGGGTTGTGCAGACGATACTTTGCCCATTCTTCAGGACAATGACGATGAATCACAATTATATTATTCTCTAATAAGTGACGACAGTCACACAGACGAAGTGGGTGGAGCAAGTTTTTTCTCTTCTCAGTAAGTCATTACTGATTTTACTTTTAAGTCATTATTGACATATCCAAAATTCTTGCATGCCATTTCGAAATAAAAAGATATTTGTATGAAAAGATACTTTTGATTTTTCAAGCATACTTTTAAAATGCACTGAAAACTATCCTTTTTCTCTGACAGTCAATAAATAATTGTGAAATTAACGTGATTTACAATCTTCCTCTTTAACCTATTTTTCCACATGATTTTGCCACGTTTATTTTACGACTATTTATTAACTATCAAGAGAAAATAATAGTTTTCGGATCATTTTACAAGTATTCTGAAGCGATCTGAAGTGTTCTTTCATACAAATCTTTTTATTTGGAAGTGGCACGCAAGGATTTTCAGCATGCCATTTTTCGCTTCTGACGTCACAATTCAACATGGCCGCGGCGAGTATTCAGGAATCTTAATATAGCTTAACACGTTTTTTCTTCATCTCTCTTATTAAAATCAATATTTTCATATATATTTATCATTATATTAAAATCAATATTTTCATATATATTTATCATTATATTAAAATCAATATTTTCATATAGAACCATAGGAGGATACGAAGCTCCATATCGCGCCTCCCAGGAAGATAATTTCATCGTAAATCCGTCCACCGTCACTCTAAATCCCCCGATATGCAATGAGAATACAGTGACCATCTTCAGTTTCTTCAAAGCAGCCCAGCCATTTCAGACCAACCTGAACTCAAATTATCTCAGCGTTGTTCCCGCAGAAGGAACGTTCCCTAGCAAGGGACTTTTTACACTGAAAATACAATGTTCGCAAAGAATTGAACGTAATATTCAGGATGTACTGGAGATTTACACAGAGAATCATAAACAGGATGTGTTGATCAAAGTTAATGTAAAAACAAGGTAATCAAAAGTGTTTCGTAATATAATCAGAATATTTATTTCTCGATTCTCGTTGCTGCAATCGATGAATTTTATAAAAACAATATTTTTTATTAATACATAACCAATTTTTTACAAACTATCGCCTATCTTTTTTCACTACACTTTCCTCTGCTGTGTTCCTTTTGTAATCCTTTAAATTTAACGTAGAAGTCGTTAACGACGAAGTAATTTTGAACTGTACATTGTGCTTTTCATGCAAGGCTCGGATTATAGTAACCATGTTCTTAACATCGTCTATGCCTGAATGCAAGTGTCCTTGCAGTGGAAGATTTAATCGTGCAAGCATATCCTGCAGACCTCTAGGATAACGCATCTTATATTCACTGAAAGTGTGCTTCAAATCTATCCATTGCTTGAATTGATCTGGTAGTGTGATGCCATCCAAACTGCACTGACTTGGCAGCATGACTTTTAGGTCCCAATTGCCACATGTTACGAATGTACTCTTGTCAGACTCATCAAAGTATCCTCCCTTCTTCAGCCAGTTGCAAAATCTCGAGAATACATCCGGGAAATAAGACTGGTCATCCACCATATCCTGCATAATTCCTGTCAGTTCCGTACAAAATGGTGTGAGTATAGGATGCACTCTGGGCTTAACGTATTCGTGGAAAGTGTCTTTTAAGTCCCAGTCGCGGGTGGACAATACCGCGCACGGCAATTCTATGATCTCCTGCGGCTGGAGTTTTTGGTATTTCTTGCAAGTAGCTTCAAAGTCCATCACAAGCAGATACTCGAAATTCTGCATTATTTCTTGATAGTGGTTTGTCATTATCCTAGGAATTCCTCGGAGAATTCGGTGAGTCATGCTTATTCGTCACGCAAATAAATTTCTGTATAATTTCGAGATAAAACGGAGTTAGGATTAATTTGTTCTTAAAAACTAGACTAAAAAATTAACAATATTAATAGCAAAAAGCCAATAACAAAAATGTTTTTAGCAAAACTATGTTTTCCAGAATATATCAAATATTTTTAATAAAATGTGCTTTTAACAATATGGAAAATACAAATATCACCCTGCCCCCAATAAAGTTAGAAAAACTATTATAATTAAATTACTAATAATAATGTTACTAGCAAAAATAGTATTCTTATATGTTCTTAATGAACATTGTTGGAAAACTTGAAGAAAATTTTAACAATTAGTGACATTGTTATTAGCAAATATGTGCTATACATAAATTTGGTAATTTTTAGAGTACAGTCAGCCAAGTCAAAATAAAATCTTTGTTATTAATAATGTTGCTAACACAATATCTAGTTCAATTTTCTGCCGATAACATTTCTTTTCAACATCCTTTAATTTAGATTGCCAAGTTTTGCAAAAATAATGTTTTTGACAATGTTAGTGACAAAGTTATTAGCATGTTATCAAAATAGATAACTTCTACTAATGATATTTTCTGCAAAAAGTTGAAAACAAATGTTACTTTTTTCATTCAAAAATAATAATGTTAATAGCAAAATTTAATCAACATGTTTTGTAACTTGTTGGAAATAATTGTCAGCAATTTAAAATGAGACAATCTACATTTGTCAGTAACACTGCTAGAAATACGTTATTAGCAATGTTACTGCTGATGTAAATTAGTCTTAATCAGAACCTTCATCTATTATTTTAATGAGTTTATCACTCGTTTACCGAGTTTTTGTCAATAAATTTCAAATTTCATGTGAAAAATATAGAATTTCTTGTTAAAAACAAATAAATGTTAGTTAATACGTTCATGTTGGTACATCATACACTTGCAGCAAAGTTGGAGAAGGAGGCAGTGATTGCTGGTAAGTAATTTGTAGTTCGCAATTCAAAGACACGATATCTCTTTCGTCAATAACAATTTCACGATTTAATTCGGAGAACCAATTGGTCCAACCTGTAAGTAAACTAATCACAGTTAAATCATATCTTTGTCTTTTCTTCAAATTAGATAGACATATCATTTAATTGTTAATTAGCTTACCAAAGGATTGAAAAAACTGACCCTCAATCTTGTTAAGACAAGGAAATTTAAACTACACGAGCAAAACATACTTGTCGATATAAAAGTCCTGCATTTTTGGATCCTGGCTGGTCCTGCATGTGGTTTCTGCGTACGTGTGTCTCACAGCCAATAATCGCGCGCCATTTTAAAATTCTCGTAGTTGTCTCGCTTGCATGCCAGCTGACAGCTGCGCGGGTAAATTATAACCTTTTAATTAGCGAAACACATAAATTGCTAAATAGCGATTTTGCGCTAACACAATGACGTCTAATGGTGAACAACCCCTAAATCTGCCATGGTGAGTGCAACGCTCGTGATGTTAACAATACAAATTTACTGGCTAAAAACCGTGTTGTGTTTCAGGGTCGAAAAATATCGTCCAAAAAAATTGGATGAACTTATCTCTCATGAGACGATAATAAAGACAAGTAAGTAACCGGATTTATATGTAACATGATTTGTATATAAGAGTCTATTTGTTACAGTAAATAAATTCATTGATGAGAATCAGCTGCCTCATCTTCTTCTCTATGGACCTCCTGGGACAGGAAAGACGAGTACTATATTGGCTTGTGCTCGTAAACTTTATACTCCAGCTCAATTCAATTCAATGGTTGTACAACTATTGTCAAATAACTTTGACTGCCTTTTTTGCTTATACGATAACTCTTTATCATGTGTGTTAGGTACTAGAACTAAATGCTTCTGATGACAGAGGTATAGGTATTGTACGAGGTCAAATCTTGAGCTTTGCTAGCACAGGTACAATGTATAAATCTGCATTTAAGTTAATCATTCTGGATGAAGCAGATGCCATGACAATTGATGCCCAGAACGCACTCAGAAGAAGTAAGTCATGATATAATATATTTATAACATATATTATACTTTTTTTTATTCATATTTCTCATATTTTTTTTTATATATATTTATATACTTTCTGTTATATATATTTTTCCAATATATTTATATAATATTTACAATTTATCGTATATTTCATACTTTCTGTCATCATTTTCAGTTATTGAAAAGTATACAGATAACGTACGCTTCTGCATTATATGCAATTATCTCAGTAAAATCATTCCGGCTCTGCAGTCTCGTTGTACTCGATTTAGATTCTTACCACTTGCAGCTGAGCAAATAATACCAAGATTGAATCATGTCATTGAAGCAGAGAAGTAAGTAGACTGATATCTATCATATATATTTCTCTTGTGATTCTATTTACAGTTTGTATTGAAGTACTATAGCAATTGTAATTTGCTAATGAAAATGTTTTGTAGTTTAAACGTTACAGAAGATGGAAAGCAAGCACTAATGACACTCAGTGGTGGTGATATGAGGAAAGTAATAAGTGTACTTCAAAGCACATGGTTTGCTTATGGCATAGTAAATGAGGAGAATGTATATAACTGCGTTGGACATCCATTGCCAAATGACATACAAAGCATTGTAAACTGGTTGCTAAATGAGCCTTATGATACATGTTACAAAAGTATCCTTATATAACTTTATATAGGAACTACATGTTTGATGATAACATGTAAAACTCATGTACACATACATTAGGTTAAACTAAACAAAAAATCCTTTGCTGTTTTGCTAACTACGTAGATTTTTATATTATTAATTAAAAAGAAAAAGCGCGGACGTGATTATATTCGCCAGTCTTTGTTAATTAATGGTTGAAAAAGCGTGGTTGTTTGCAAAATAGTAGAGAGCTTTTTTCTTCAGTTTAATCTATTGTACCAACACAAAAAACAAATCGTCACACTATGAATCATATTCCGCGCGATTATTCGCCATTCTTCTTTAATAACAAAAATTTTACATGGTTTGCAAAATGGTACAGAAATTTTTTCTTCAGTTTAACCTAATCTACACATATATGAGAGTTTTGTATGTTTATTATCGTTAAACATCTTGTTATATTATATCTTTTCATCATATATATTTTTCATATTATTTACATATTTATATTATACACATACATTTTATATTTTTTATCGTTTCTATATGTTATCCTTTTATAATAGGAAAAATTGTTTAGACAATTATTTCTTTTGCAAGAACTGTATAATCCTTAATGCATTACGCAGATATTCAAGAGCTGAAATTGAACAAAGGCCTCGCATTACAAGATATATTGACGGAAATTCACTTGTGTGTAATCAAAAGTAAGTATTTTCTTTGAAGTGTATGTGTCAGAAGTTCATAATTATTGATAAGCATCTATTTTTTTCAGTTGATTTTCCCGATTCGATATTTATCGATTTACTGTGCAAGCTGGCAGAAATAGAAAAACGATTAGCCTCTGGATGTCGCGACGCTATTCAAGTAAATTCCCTTATATCTGCGTTTTATAAAGTTCGCGATATCGAAACGTAAGTGAGTTGTCGCATAGATGATTGGAAAATGTTTTGTAAATATGAAGATACTAAGTATCATTTTTCAAGTTTCTGTCGTATTTTTATTCACTAGCAACGTATATATTTTTGGAAATAAGTATTCTATTTTTCTACTGCTTAATAAAATGTATATCATAAATAGATATTAAGGTTTCTGTGTATATGTTCCTTTGCTGCGGTCATCTTGATTTAAGGTAGTTGTTTTATGCAAAAAAAATTTTGTTAGAAAATTATGTTAATGATTAATACAACATGAGGAAACTCTACAAATATGTGCTAATTGTTTATAAATATGATTTATGATGTACAGATTTAGCACTATAGCAAGAAAATATTAATTAAACTTATATAATGTTTAAAAATCCGTAAAAAAATAATCGCACTTTAACATATTAAGGCTCCTGGGGAGTCGCATCATCCATCTCTTTTTAATGACGTCAGAAGCGAGAAAACGCATGCTAAAAATTCCTGCAAAATACGTCGAGATAAACAGATATATCCACAAAACGACATTTGCGATCGATTAAGTACACCTCTAAAATACTCCGTACACTTTCCTTTTGTTCTAAAAATCAATTATTATGACAAAATCAATTAATATGACAAGATAATGAGAAAATTAGGTTAGAAAAGACGATTGCACGTCACATTTATTTTATAATTATCTGTTGATTGTTAGAACAAAAGGAAAGTGTACGGAGTATTTTAGAGGTGTACTTAATCGATCGCAAATGTCGTTTTGTGGATATATCTGTTTATCTCGACGTATTTTGCAGGAATTTTTAGCATGCGTTTTCTCGCTTCTGACGTCATTAAAAAGAGATGGATGATGCGACTCCCCAGGAGCCTTAAAACTTTCAGCTAAGACTGTCCGTGTTACGTTTATGTTCGTAAACATATATGTATCAGTGGACGAACACTATTTCTTATGTAGATTAGGTTAAATTAAAGAAATAATTTCTATTATTTTATTAATGTACGCTACTAGTAAAAAATAACCATGTCGTTGATCTCTTTCATATTTACTCTATTTTTACATATTGATTATAGATTTTTAAGATTATTTAACCATTTTATCTTTAAAGAGATATTTAACTAAGGGACTAACCAAAGGAAATATAATGTATAAATTATTGAGAAATCATTAGAAGTTCATATATTTCAATTGTTATAAATTGTGTACTTTACGTATCAATCTTTTGAAAATTAGATGGTCAACGATCTTGTAATTTCTTTATAATATTTTCATAAGTTTCTTTTATCGTCTTCTTGTTTTCGTTAAAATGTAAAAGTAATTGGGTTGCTAGAATTAAAAGCAATTTTCCTACTTGTAATACATGTAAATAGTGCTAACTTCGACTTCGATTATCTCAGCTTTGACATGGCCAATCTTTTTCTACTTATATATACATATCGATTTCTACTTACATTTACATATCGATCGTGTTTCAATTAATATACTGTTAAAATTTTAAAAACTTCCTTAAAAAATTGGTTTATGATGCAACTACTTTAAGACATTAGGTCGCGAGAAAATACGTGCTAAAAGTTCTTGCGAAATACGTTAACATAAAGTAAATATGTTTCCAAAATAGTAATCGATTGACCAGATCTGTAAAATAGTTGGAATATTCCTTTTATTGTAACATTCAATGAATATCTATAAAATTAGTGTGATAGAGTCATGAGAAAAAGTAGGTTAAAGAGAAAGGTTGCATGTCACGTTAATTTTACGGTCATTTATTGATTGTCCGGCAAAAGGAGAGCGTATTCAGATTTTACGTATCTGCTCTATCGATTGCAAGTGTGATTTATATCTTTTTATTTAAACTTTTTATTTTGCAAGAATTTTTAGCGTGTATTTTGTTGCTTCTAACGTTCTCTATCAAGAATTCCAGCAGCCTTAAGTAAATATCCATACAATGAAAAGTAATATCGCGTCCTTCTTTTTTTACGGATATTTAATTATGATATTACTTCAAAAATCATACACCACAATACGCGTATACAATATATAATTACGCCACAAAAGCGCAATAAAAGAATACCATGAAACGAGAAATTAATAAAATTCATTTACAATTTATCAGCTCGTGGCTCACCGTCCGATATTCGCGTATCCAGAAATAATAAGACCCCACGAATAATTTATATCTCAGATATAAATTACAGCGTGATATCATTATCACTGCTCGGTCTCCACGCTTAATTACATTCTGCCGTGCGTTTTATCGGCAACGTAAGAGTCCGGAAAAACATTCCGTCAAAGGGCGGAGTGAGTCGCAAATCAGTCGAGTCACCATCGATTCCTCCCGTGTCATAAATTATATTCCCGTACCAGCTGTGTGCCGCCGCCACTTCTTCTTCCTCTTATTCTTACTCCTTCCCTTGCCTCACCCTTCGGCATCATGATGATCTCCTTACGTGCGGGGAAAAGTGCAAACTTCATCCACGAGATGATAACTTTCACGAGCGGACAGCAAACACGCGCAGGAGAGAGAACGACGTTGTGCCGCGCGTCGGGCTACAAGTCTGCAATCAGTGTATTCTATATCGGATCATACGAGCGGAGCGGTCCGACAGTAGACCGACAAATGTCGCCCAATCAGCACGCGATCGTTCGAACATCACGTCGACGAAAACATGTCGAAACTTGGAGCATGCAAGCTTCACTCGTGCCTCATCGAAACTTCGGCCGGCCTCGAGGATACACGTTACTCCTCATGCATCACGTATAAAATCGCGCAATCCTTGAAATAATACGAGGTACCCGCATTAGCTCATGGTACCCGTACAGAGAATCCTCCCCGCACGGGCACGAGAGAATTTTACAGAGAGGAATTAAATTTCTCGTATATTTAAACAGTAAAGAAAAAGTTCAAACTCGTGCGAGCGGAAAAAATACGCGAATCAGATGCACTGTAAGTGATAAGGATTTTTAATTCACAATTATGTATGATAATATATAATTATACATGATAACATAAATAATATGATAGCATAATGATCTTATTTTGCTAATTAACCCTGGCATACTGCACAGATAAAAATATTCTATTCTGCTAAGAAAAGCGACTATTCAGTTTATTTTCCTTCTTTTAAACAATTATTATTTTCAGCAAAGAATAGTTTTTTGATAATAGTCTTAAAATATGCTAATCACAAATTTTAGAGAAGGTTATTATTATGTACTCAAAAAAGACATTTATTCTTTTCTTAATGAATATTATAAGACTTTATCGAAGAAAAAGATTCTATATATTAAGCAAACTGAATTTTTATTTCAATTTAATATTCTTGATTGAAATGCTATACTCTTATTAGAATTGGGAACGTATTTTGAATAAATTTGTTGCTTATGAAGAGCTTATGATTTACGGATATACAGGTTGTCCCAGATTTTCTTCCGCAATTTTTTGGAAACGTAGAATGGCTTGAAGTGAACATAAAAATCCCATACGTTGCGACATTCGTAATAAATCTCGATATATTAATTAAAGAAGATTGATGAATGATCACGTGCGATATGGTAGATGAGCTGCAGTGGTGCCGTCTGCCGTTGTATACATTAGGTTAAACTGAACAAAAAAATCTTCTATCATTAAAAAAGATTTATATATTATTGAGCACAATTAATTTTCACAGCAATTTTCTTTAATTAATAACTAAAAATCTACGTGGTCATTTGCAAAATGGTAGAGGATTTTTTCGTTCAGTTTGAAGTCCTGATACAAGTACACGATAGCAAACATCGCTACTATAGCTCATCTATCATATTTCGCGTTCATTCATTAATCTTCTTTAATTAATATCTTAACTATTATTGTGAATTTCGCAAAACTGTATAGGACTTTTATGTTTATTTCAATCCATTCTACGTTCCCACAAAATTGCAGAGAAGAGTCTGGGACACTTTGTATAAACTTACGGAGTAAGGGAGAGGGGGGCAAATAGTGACAGTTTAAATTTCTCCTATATTTCCCGCATCTATGTTATTACCACCGTCAATAGCGAGTAAGTTCTCGAACATCTAATTATCTTTGAAAAAAATAATTAAACTGCTAAACTAAAAACAGCTAATAAAGAAGCCTAAAATTTTGGCCTTTGTGAATTAAGGTAAAACCTGAATCTTATTCGGGTATTTTTATTTTAGATTGTTTTGACTCTCGAACCCCTTAATGAGATTTTACCTGTTCAGCGTTGTACGATGTGTCTCTTCTAGTGTGATCTAACTTCTATATGTATATATCAATTCGTTTATTATTTTAAGTATTTTAAAAGAAGAGGCAACTCCTAGGGCAAAGAGTGACAAATTTTAAATAAGTTACAAAGTAATAAGTTGTAAGTGACAAATTTTAAATAAATTACTTGACTTATTCAGTGTTAGTTGAATTGCATTTCTTCCTATTTATTTTGTTGGGTGTAACTTAAATGCCATTAAACTAGGTTTAAATACAGAAAATATTAATAAGTAATTTGAAAAATCACTTTCCAAAAGCATGTCATATTATTTCATCAAAATTAGATTTTATACACCATTTATTTTAATAAAATTCTTATATATGGCAGTAAAGGAATTATATTTCAATTTTTAGTTAGTCATATATCGTCAAAAGAGAGACTAAATGGAAGTTCAGGAGTTTTTCATGATTGTCACCATTTGCCCCACGCTGGGGCAAATAGTGACAAAATGCAGATTTTAGTTTCTATGAAAATATTTTTCGTATAATTAAAGGTGGAAAGTATCGTTTTAATAAAATACCTGATCTCGACAATTGAAAATAGCTTACATGAGGGAGAAAAAAAATCCGTCACTATTTGCCCCACTCTCCATTACTTGAAACAAGTAACATTTACTTAAACGCATTATATAATTTTCCTCCGTGTATGAAGGTTAATATTCTCGCACTATGACAGGAAGCGATAAAGTCAAGAGTTTTTGTAGCGCAGGCAGTGAGAAGAATCGCTCGCTCGCGCTCGAAGTTTGAACGGCCTTTGAATTACCCAGCGGCAACTTCACACCGGTAACGGCGGTAATCGCAATTTCGCTCAGTCTCGCGTCGGTTTGCAAGGCGGCACGAAGTGATGAGTGATCACCGTGCATCACCTCGATTAGCGGGCGGAGTCGCGATTAACCGCGTTT